TTTCTATTTTCTCTCCTTTAGAGACTTTACTATGTGCATTTATTTCTCTTCTGCCACTTTTTAACTTAATATCTTTTTCTGTATTTAATTTTCTCTAAGCTCTTTCTCATCCTTACATGGTTTATTATTTAATATTATTTAACCCTCTGTCTCTGTGTACTTTGCTGGTGTGCCTTCTGCCAAGCCAAGTTTTTCTATCCCTTCTACAAGGATGCAAGTTTTATTTTTTTGTGATTCAGCTAGCACAAAATGCTAGTTGTTGGCCCTTCCCCAGCTCTTCCACTAAAGAGTAAACAGTAAAGAGGTGATTCTGCCACTCTGCTCAGTCTAGCAGACTGACTGTCCTGGGCCCAAGTGCCCTGCCTCGTTGAGCTGGGCTGGCGCCAGCAGCTTCATTAACCACCAGGATGCAGCTGGTCCCAAATGGGCTGTGGTTTTTGCCCACCATCTGTAGCTCATGGGCTCTGTATACCACCACCCAGCTCTGGCTGGAGCCACTATGTGCAGCAGTGGGTGCCCATAGGTGGGTGTGCTCCTCCGGCCCCTTTCTCACTGTAGCTCTGGGAAGGATTTAGACTGAAGGGCTCACCCTGTGGCTCCAGTTTGCACTCTCTTAAAAGGACCCCCTCCCAATTCAGCTACTCTGTTTGTCCCAGCTCTGGGACTTTGTCTAATACCTGAATCCTTTGTCTAAGCTTGTATTTCTGTCTAAGTTTGTATTACATGCCTAACATATGGGATGCCAAATGTAGAAATATAGTATACTTCTATATTTATAGAAGGGTATATAGTATACCCTATATAAAATGGGAGGCCTTTTCTAATCACCTGCTCTTGCTCCCAAATAATTGATGCAGAGACCTATGAGATTTATTCAGCAAGCTTTAAAGTACTAGAGCTGGGTAGACATTTATCTATTTTAACCCTCTATGCTAATCAGGCTACTTAACAGCCACATGGTCCAAAGTTTTTGTCATACTGGTCCTGCCTGGATTGCTTCTGCTCTATCAGGTCAGTCCTCATGGCCAGATCATTGTGGCTACATTTTTTTCTCCTCCATTTCTTCCCTCTCTTTACCTCGTGGTCCCTACCTGAGACCCCTCAACTGGGAACAGAAGTCCAGCCTTCCTCCCCAATCTCTCCCAGCCATAGGCTGCTCTGCTTCTTTATTACCCAATCAGAGATAATTGGGGAGTAATGTTTACACAGTATTGATCAATGATCATTACAATACCCATGTCCAGATTGCAACCAAATCTCAGGGTATAGAAATCAGCACCTGAATAAATAGCACACCAGACCAACACCCAACATTCCTTGTCCATGTACTTTCAAAGTCCCTTAGATAGGACCACTGAGGGGTACCCCAACTGCCACACCCAACAACTCTACTCAAGAAGGAAACAGTAAATCAACCATCACCTAAATTGATAAGAGCAATTGGGGTTACCTCTTCAGAAGGCTGGTCTGAGAGATGATGAGAATATAAGTATAAACTGGCCAGTCCATTTTAGTTTTAAGGCAAGGACCCTAAAAGCAGAACTTTCCAAAAGGTCTGTGATCCCATCAGAAGTTCTGTCTTTGGCCAGAGTACAGAAACACCAAGTCCTGGTTTCCTGTCATCTTCACTCCTCTTGGTATAACCAACACCAGTTGTGTGACATCCCATGCCTCACCCCAGTTCCTGCTAATTGATACTATAAAAAGCCAACAGGGTAGCATGTGCTTGATGGTACTTCTTTATGATATCACTTCCTGGATGGAGCCTGTTCCTGTCATCCAAGAGGTCTTCTTTCTCCTAAGCACCCAGTTATAAAACTTTCTAAAACTCACCCTCTGTGTCCCATGAATTTCATTCTTCCAATGCACACAAGAACCTGGAGCCACTGGAAGATTTGTATGGCCATGAGCTTACAGCACCCTGACTCCTGTGTTAAAGTCACCTGGATGGGGCAAGAACGCATCTATCGAAGACACCACTGACACCACCACCATTTCTATCCACTTCAGGACAATGTGAAAAATCAAAACTAAGAGAGAAATGTGTAGTACCTGAAACTAAGCAATATTGTATGAAAAGTCCAGTGACCCACCACAGAAGGTCCATAGTGTAGAGGATAGCCTCAGTGCCTAGACCACCACAGGGGATAAGTGTGCCACACAGGGGTCTGGGCTCCTAACCTACCATAGAGACTGCCCTCAGGTTGCTGGACATTGTCAGATCCATTCCCACATTGCATCCTTTTTGCTGTCCCAAGTGCAGGAACAGTACCAAAGTATCTGCTTACAATGATACACCAACGACATTCCCAGTACTCTTAGGGGCATTCCCCACAATGCCCCTAGTATAGGTCTAGTTCTCTGGGAGCTGGTCACATGAGAACCCCAGGACCAGCCCAGTCTCCAGGGAACTGCTTGAACACAGATCCCCAGGACACGCCCTTTACCAAAGGGGATTTAACATAATGGTCATGGAAGTGTCAGTATCCAGGAGGCCATAAACAGGCTGTTCCCTAATGTAGGGTCCAGTACCCACGAAGCTTCTATACTTACCTCTCAGCAGGACAGGCACCCAGAGAGCTTCTCTCATGCTGGAAACAGTGAGGACCAATAAGAATGCTGTTAATCTTACACTGTTCCTAGGGCAGACCCAGTACCAAGAGGGTTTTCCACATCTGCCCTCAAGAGAAGCCCAGTACCTATGGAGTCAGCCTCCTTGTGAATTTCAAGTACCTTATCCTGGGAGCCACTAGCACACTGAACCCCATGTAGGGCCCAGTTCCAGGGGGCCAGCTGCAAACTGCCTACCAGAGTACTGACTGGTACTTGTGGGGCCAACTGCATGCTTTTCAGTTTAGAGTCAATACTCTGGTGGCCACAGATACAATGCCTCCAGCAGAAGGCCCAATATCCAAAGGAACAACTATAAGCTGGTCTACTTAAAGCCTAGTACCAAAGAGTACCCTCATACTTTTGCCTACTTTAGGCCCTGTGCCACAATCTGATCTGAGAGAGGACCCAAGCCTACAGAGCCACTTGCACACTGCAACCTATGCATGTGTAGATCCAGTAACTAGGGGATGACCCACCCTAGCTCTAATGCAGGCCTAGTACACAGGAGGCTGCCTGCATTCTGACCTGAAGGACAAGCACAGTACAGTACCTCAATGACCGCACAACTGACCTTAATTCAAGGCTGAGTAACCAGGGTTGGCCCACTGTAGACACCACCTCTTTCACTGACAAAGAAGACCCATCCAAATTCAGGGGCTCACTATCCCTGCTTCACTGGAATCTTCCCATATCCTCCATCCCAACCTACAGGATCCCATTCTTTTGTAATCCATGGTCTCACTTCAAAAGCTTCCCACAAGGCTGGAACTTCAGCTTCCGTCCAGACAAGCGGAGAATGGGATTCTGCATTTGATTTTCAGCAATCTCAGGTCTGCATCTATAGGAGACATGGTTCTCCTCCAGGTCTCTACAGAAGCTTTCACGTTCTTTATGTAGCTTGTGAGCTGGGAATTCAAATCCTTAAATTATTCCTTTTACTATAACACATTGTCCAGCAAGGTAAGGATCAAACAGCCAACCTTGCTTGATCTACTGCCAGCTCCCACCTAGACCACTGATGATCTGGTTACTACTGAAAATATAACAGCCCTCTCCTATCCTGGCTATGTTCTGACATATAACCCCTCAATGGATGTTTGAAACTGAAGCTAGCACTAGCAGTGAATCCCATATAACTGGAGACTTTGTGTCCCAGACCCTAGCAGTCAAAATTGATCCCAAGGCCAGACAGCGAAGGACCATGTGGGCTGTCATAACAACCACCACTTCCTGAATGCAACCTGCCATGCACAGTACTAAATACCAAACTACCGAAACAATAAATATCAAAGCACCCAGAAACCTATTGAAACCTAAGATTACATAGTTTGTCCATGTCCCACAGACCCTGTAGGAAATTACGAAGCTTGTCCTGTCCCACAGACCCTAATTTGGAAATTAGTAGGACCTAGGACCCAGCAGAATTCAACTGTAGCAGCTCTCCCCCTGATCCGCAGGGATCTGATTACATCTGTATGTCACGCAGGCTGGGAGGGCCAAGTGTCCCCTCAGGGGCAAGCGAAAACAAGGCATCCTTCCACATTACCTTTGTAGCCTATTTCTGAGAGGTGAATATATGTCCCCACACTGAAGCCAGTTGGAGCTTCCTCTACTCCTACTCTGAGGTGCTCCAAAGCTTCACCACAATTGCCCAGGAGGTAACTGAGGCACATGGATTATTCCCGGTTTAATGCCAGCAGGTGTTACAAAGCAAAGCCTAGATTAAGATTTGGGCAGTTGGCTATAGGTGCCCACTCCAAACCATGGGCTGGGCAGGAAGTAGAGGCACAGCCAGAGTCAAGCCTCTGTCCACACAATTTCCTCTCCTTTGATGGCTTTGAGAACATTGTCTGCCATGACCAGTAACTCAGCTCACATGATGCTGGGCTTCTGTTTGAGGTGCAAAAGCCACATGCCAACACTCCTTCTCAGGAACCTTGGACAGTGTGAATAGCTTTCCTGCAGGTGAAATTATCACTCACAGCAGGGGCAACAGGATTTCTTGTCTCTTGAGGAGGGCTACTCAGAATTCTAGGAAGCAGAGGGCGAGGGAGGCTGTAAATTTAGAAAAGAGTCAAGTGACCCTGCTTCTGGAAGTCCCCTGGATTCTCCCCATCAGCATCTTCTGTGTGTGGTGAGGGGTAAAAAACTGCCTCTCCCCCTAGGCAGGAGGGAGGGTGCTTTGCTCATGGGTCTCACTTCTCTTCCTCCTCCCCCTGCAAATGATCACAGCTTGAAAACTTCTTTAAAGGAAGTGGTTGCTCTTGTGGCCAAGTCCTAGAGATGAAGTGCTTCTGGTTAAAATGATTCAGCGAGAAACCACACCCCCACCAGAGCTAATCCCACCCTGCCCTGGTCCTGGGGCTCTACTTGCCTAGCATTTCTACCGTTAGCTCTGGCCTACTACACGCTACCCTTAACCCACAGAACCATGTGGCTGGCCATTCTGCTTGCCCTCTGCTGCCTGACTTCCGATTCCCATGGGACACACACCCCAGGTAAGAGAAGGGTCATCTGGCCCCATCCCAGGGTGCTTTCCTAACCATCTTGTAGTAGTGGAGGCATGGAGGCCCTGGCCTGCTATTCTTTCAGCTTTCCCAGGACACTCTTGGAGCCCTGAGAAAGACCCTAGCAAGAGGCTCTGGATCCTGGCAGCAGCTACTTCCATGAAGAACAAACATCAGGGATTACACACGACAGCAGCCACAGTGATAGAGAGCACAACTTCTGTTCCCTTCTGTTCAAGGGTCTCAATCAAGCAGCCTGTATCTGAAAGCTTTACTTTCCTGCCTTGTGACTTCACTGCAGGGACTCCAATAAGATACTTATCCTTCCTGTAGTCAGCATGTTGTTTGCCAGTAAAGTGTGGAGATGGTCTGTGTTGGGAAGCTGAGACACAACCAAGTTAGCTGACTTGCTAGCCACCAATGCCTGCTTCCCTACAGAGAGCTGGATGATGTCTGCCCCAGGAAGCAGATTTAGAAGATAGATAGTTTGAGGGCCCTGCCTCTAACAGACAAGAAAGCTGATAACTGACCATCTCCCACCAGATGAAGATATCACTTAGGCATAGATAGGGCTTTCGTCATTCTTCCTCCTTGAAACAAGCTGGGTCTGGTCACAGGTTATGAAGCGGAGTGTTCAGGGAGACACAGTGAAGGGGAATAATACCCAAGACCAGGGACAGGAAATCTCCCTTCACAGAAAATCTGATACCAAGAAGTCAGTGGTGGTGTCAAAGGAGAGCACAGCCTCGGAATCCAAGACCTGATGTGGATGCTGTGAATTGGGCACTATGGAGATAGGAAAAGAACAGGGAGAGGACAGCTTCTGTTCTGAGGTAGGGACAAGCCACAGCAGCTTGGGGGTGGTTAGCAAATAGGTAGTTAACTAGTAAGAGAGGAGAGACAGCACTAGGCGTAAGTCAGAACACTGAGCTTGCCTCCCAATGGGGCCCTTCCTGGCCTCCCTCCTGTTCCTTTGTCCCAGCTGTCCAGAGAGAAACTTAGGCAGAACCTGGGTGTTGCTTCTGCAAAGCCCTCTTAGCCTATGCGAGAGATGGGAGGGTGGTATTAGTGCTCGCTGTCTCACTAGTCCTGGGGTTTCATTTTTTATACTCAAGTGTTTTGAAGATACTGTTCTTGCCTCCTCTGTGGCTTAACGGAACAGAGTGGAAACATCCACAGCATGATAGAGAACACCACTGGACAGCCTTTGCGGGAGATGCTGGAGGACTGCCAGTTTCCTGTTTCTACCATGTTACCTTCCTGCAAGTGTGTGAGCTGAAAGGAGTCTTCCCCATTCCTCCTGACCAGTAGGTTCTCTGGGCCATCCCCTTCAGGCCTCTCTGCCCAGACCCAAATGAGCAACACCCTCACACGGGAACCTGAGAACACAAGCCCCCACCACCACCTACCGGCTAATGATTTTTGAACTTCCTTTAGCCTGCCCTTTGAAATGGCCAGTAGTGGCTCCTGACCCAAGAGTCTTAGTGGAGTGGCTCAGTGATGATACCCATAAAGTTCTTGGAGGCCTGGGTGCTTCCAACATGTCCACCCTTGCTTTCAAGTTTGGGGTCAGGCCCTTGCTCTGCCGTGCTAATGAACCCCACCTCTACTCACTAGGGGACCACCCTTTCTGAAGCTTCCAGTAAGGGCCTCAGCTGCTAAGATGGGGTACTCTTAGGCCCCTCTCTCAGGATTCAAACATCTGGGAACCTGGGCCTTTGATAGGAATCTAACATATATATATGTACATACATACAAACACACACACACACACACACACACACACACACACACACACACACAC